GGAGCCGCTCGGAAAGGCCGGGGGTGGCCCCGGGGCTCCGGTGACCCCCTCCAGCCCTCGCCCAGCGCAGCGCGGGTGCGCCCCGGCCTCGCGTCCGCCGGCTCCATGCGTTTGGTTTGTGGTTGCGACAAACCCTCGCGGGGACGGGGACGGGGACGGGGACGGCTCCCTCCCCTCGCCGTGACGTGCAGGGAAGCTCGCTCTGCTCCTTACACGGATTTCTTGCTTTCCCGGGCTGCGTTCAGCACGGCTCCTCTGTCCTACTTTTCTCGGGAGGCAGCTGAAGGATTAGCGGGTCTCCGGTACCACACGGCAGCCGGGCTGAGGCAGCGGGGAGGAGGAAAAAGACGGCAGTGGATTTATGTCTGACGGCCTTGGGAGATGCTCAGCGCCTGAGCGGGGTCGGGCAGGGGGAGATGGTGGTTCGGACCCGCGGGGCTGGGTCTGGAGGAAGCCAAGAGCTGCCTTGGACTCCCCCCAGACCTGAACGCCCTGGGAGGGCGGTTTCCAAGGGAGCCCATTTCCCGAATGAAAGGGCTAATAAATGTGTAGGAGGTGTGAAGAGGCAGCACCCAGCCCAACAGCTACTTATGGGTGGGGGTGTCCAGCTCCACCCAGTGAAAATCATTCCTTTTATGGCCCAGGCTCTGAAAATCAGGTGAGAAACAGAGAAACACATTGCAGTCCCACTACGGGGCTGGGAAGCTGCCTAGGTATCCCCATCACATACCCGGCAATGGAAACAGCTGGGAAGAAAAGCCAAAAATTTACAGAACCGGGGATCTAGGGCAAATGCCAACTCCAACCTAATAATGGGTCGGGCCGGTTGCTCCCCTCTGACTGTCAGCAATTGCTAAAGAAGCAGGGAGGAAATCTTCCTTTTCGCCTTTTCTTTGCAGTTTTCCTGTTGGTGCTGTTCGTAGCCCTGCAGGACCTCTGCAGAGGGCCCGCTAGGTAACGACCAGAGCACACTCAGGGACGACAAATAGTTAAAGAGCATCAGGAGAAGCAAAGCTGGACCGTGTTGGATGCAGAACTTCCTGGGAAGGGAAATTATCCCATGCTGAGCTTCCCACACCTGATAAAGCCACATCCAGTGAGTGACAGGAGGGAGAGGAGGGTGGCTGGTCTTGTAAATGAGGCCTTAAGCTTCTCTCACTTTGCTCTGGTTAAAACGGGCAGAGAAGAAGTAAAATGTCTTATTTTCATTATCACATGTAACTTAATTTGTTCTGAACTGAATATTTGGGGGGTGGGGGAGTGGATAAAAAGAAACCCATCGGTTTGGATGGAAATCACTTTCTTCTTTCAATGCCTGGGAATGGTTGGCATAAGTTTTAAAGAGCGCTATATGGTGGAGGTACCCTCATGCGTGCCATCCCGCTCTGAAACCCCCTGGCGAAGAGTTTTACCGTGGGCTGCAGGGAGTGAAGATGATGATTCGGCGTTAGAGGAGGGATGCTGCTCTGGGGTGGTGCAGAGTGAAGTGTGAGCCTGGGCTCCCCACATTCTTCACCCTCAGGAGTCCCTTAGGCTCATGGTATGTTTTGCCTTGGAGAATCAGTGTCATGTCACCAAAACCAGCCATGTGCCACCAGCTGCTGGCAGGGCAATGCATTTCCTTTCTGGAAATCCCATGTGCATCTTTGAATTGGTTGTAGACCATCAAGCCTCAGGCAGCAGAGGTCCTACAAGCCCCAAATATTTTCTTAAACTGTGCTGGGGTATACACCCTTAACAGCAGACAGACCTGTGACGTTTCCTTCTTTTTTTACATGATAAAAAGCTTGCTCAAAACGGTCACCCAAGATGCCTCAGCCCCTGTGGTGCGTAGCTGCCTGCCCGGGATGCTTGAGCCAGGAGTTGCCCTTCCCACCCTCTTCGTGGGATCTGGTCCTCTGGATGTCTGTGGGCACCCTCAAGGGAACCATCCCAGAATACTCTGCCTGGGAGGTGTCCCTGGCGAGGGTGTGGGTGCTTGCAAGGCTATGTCAAACACGTCCACGGGAAACAATTTGTGTTGGATGCCGCCAAGCTCTATCAGAAGAGCTGAAGCTGCTGGGAGGACTGGGAGGATCCTGACGCCCCAGTGCCCACCAGGCACCCTGAGGCATTTGGCGTGAGTTACGGCTTTGAGAGCTGATCCTTGCGGGCGCTGTTGAGGCCATGTGTTAGGGGCTGGGTCGGGGGGGGGAGAACTCGTCTCTTGTTTGATTAATTTGCCGTTTCTTGGCTTGGCACCCGGTTTCAGATTCAAGCAGGGGTTTGCCAAGTCGCCGTTTTTGTTTCATTGCAGTGCTCTGTGATGTGCTGCTGCAGGGGGGCTTGGGGCGATGCCTCTGGCTTCCCCCCTCCAGCATCTCAGTGTCACCAGTGCAGGGGGCTCAGCCCGTCCACCCCAGCTCTGCGTATGCACAAACATTTCCCCTTTTCGCCAAACTTTGCAAAAAGCAATTTGGATTCTGCTGTTGTATAGAAAAGGGTTCGAAGCCCCGGTCGGATTTCCCAGTGGTTGTTTCTGCGATTCAGGTGCAGGCTGGATTTGGAGGGAGCTCTGTGCAGCAGGTTGGGGCTCTCCTCGCTTTCTGCTGTAAACGCAGCTGGGTTGGAACGTCAGTACCCGATGTGCAGCGCCTTCTTGCTCTAGCAATGCTCTGAGAGAACCCCGGGGTCCAAAGCAGCTGCAGCTCAGTCTGCTCCCACCGATGAGTCTGAGCTCCACGTCGAGGCACGGCCGGCCCTGTGTCACCCCACCGGGCCACAGCCCCAGGCTTTTGGTCTGGAGACACCCGTCCCACCGTGTCCAGACCACCCAGCCGGGATGTGCTGAGCTGAGGCACCGCCTTTGGCACGGCCCCTCCAAGCTGGCAAAACGAGCAGCGTCCTTTTGGCAGCTCTCCGTGAGGTTTTGCGGGGAGGATGCGAAGCCCTGGGTGGACCGTCAGGTCAGGGGGCGGCTGTGGGGCCACAGGCTGGCGCAGCTCGGCCCGACCCGTGAGGCAGCGATGGCCGGGTTCGGGGAGCAGCAGCAGTTCGTGACCCGAAGGGTACTGGGGCTCTCGGCACCGCACGATGCCGGTTCTCTCGCTGTCGCTGGAGGGAGCTGCCCCAGGACTGGCTTCTGCAGAAGGACCTTGGCAGGGCCCTGGGATGCCGCACGCTCTGGTGCGGGAGCCGTGGCCTGGGGGCACGGGGTGGCCTTAGCACTGGTGGGACGTGGAGGCTTGCACAGCAGAAGAGGGCAAGGCTGAGACACAAAAGAAAGCAGCAGCTGTCGTTCCTTGGCCAGGCAAGATCTGGGCATTTAGCCTTCCCCTGGCTGGCGTTGTCCTCTGGGCACCTCCTGTAGATGCTGAAGATCAGATGCACCAGTGGTGAGCAAACCCCAGATCTGCCACACACCACCCCCCAGCGCTGGCAAGGGATAAATACAGCAAATGTGCTTCACCAGTTTCTATCTGATGCATAAATAACACCTTAGTCTAATCGCTTTAGAATCCAGACTAAAACACAGCGCTCCAGGATCCGCTGGTGCACACAGGGACTAAACAAGCTTTGAATTAAGCAAATGGAACATTAAAAATGTATTTCTGAATGCAAGAGTGAGCAGATAGATAGCACAGAGCCAGGCATAATGGGCTGTTTGTGCGATTGTGCTTGGGGCTATCATTAACCCCGGGCTCTTCCCCAGGGAAGGAGGACAGACACAGAAGCTGGGGCCTCCTTTAGGTACATCAGGTATTTACGTAGCTACTCAAGGGGACCAGAGCACTCTCTCATCTCTTCTTTCTGCCGTGAGCAGTATTTGTCCCACTTCCTTGACCAGCTAAAGAAGCCCTTGCTCTTTTCTCCAGCTCCAAGACCAGGCCACATGTCTGGGATCATGAGCACGGCTGGAGTTTACTCCCATCGCCTTCAACACTCCCACTCCAGCCCCAGCTCATTTCATTCCTACAGACGTAGTCATCCCCCAGAAGCTGCAATAAACGCTGTTGGAGATGACTATACATGTACGGTATGAGTAGGTAAAAGGCTACTACTTACTGGGGCTTGTCCTGACTTTAATTCATCCAGGTAATTCAGACCTCAGCCTCTGCTCTTGTTAGTGGAGTTGGCACAGGATTTTCCAGCCCCTACAAGGGGTATCTGCCTGCTGCAAAGGTCTGCCATCAGGGAACAAGAAAACACCTCTCATCATCACTTGTAAACTTGTTGCCTCAGGGCCCCATTTCCAGAGAGAAAAAGGAATTAAGTCCATAAACTTCAAACAGACTAAAAACCACCGTTGGGGGCTATAGCAGGGATTTAACTCAGAGCTCTGTGAGGCTCCAGCTGAGCTGAGGCCAGAGGGCAGCACAGCGCTCGGGTCAAACCCCAGCCAGCAAACCGAGTCCGGAGTTCTTACACAGCTCCCACACATCATCTACTGGCAAAATCAGGCAAATAATCCAGGCAGGACAGTTACAGGCTTGTTTTTATTAAAAGACATCTTCAGAAAAGATATTTTAGTACAAAAAAAAAAAAAAAAAAAAAAAATACACAAACTACAGTTGTTGGTTGTTTTTTTTTTTCCCAGCATAAACATTTATAAATTACAACACATCGTTATTAACACCACATTTAAATATGGAAACAAATTAAAACAGGAAATTCGTCGACAAGATCCAACATCCTACAAATGAACTATGTACAATATTTAGCAGCTAGGAGCTCTAGCACAGTAGTCAATATGACTTCAATAGGGGAGGATGCTCGGGAAGCCCCGAGACGGCAGCTTGGCCTGTAACAGTTTTTGGGGACCTGTTTTGCCCACCTCTCCGCAGACACCCACCCCAAAGGCAGAGGCGGTCCCGTACATCAGGGTACGTACCCGACAGGGCAGTGTGGCTCTTGCCAAAACCCCCCGTTTTCCCCTGGCCCTTTAGAGCGAGATCTGGGGCATGCACGTGGGACAGTGCTATTCACTCCGCAAATGACAGGAAGGCTGTTGGGAGAGGGGGATTTACAGCTGAGAGCAGGGCTGGTGCTGCCCAGGGACAGCCACTGCTCAGTACCTGTGCTGTCCTAGTGCTTGTCCTAACCACCCCCGGTAACAACGGTAGGCTCCAGGCAGAGCTTAAGACCCAGCCCTCCAGGATCTGGCCCTCATGCAGCCGGCGGCAGCATCCCACCCATCATCTCCTGCAGCAGGAAGCAGTTTCCCCGGCTCCCAGCAAATCCCACCGCGGACAGAAATAAAGGGCTTTGAAGCTGATGGGGAAGTGAGCCCGAGGTCCCTGTCTGCACAGGGTGTCCTTCACCAGCACCCATGTTCTCAGAGGGCTGAAGTCACCAGAGCAGGGGCTGCGCAGATGGAGCTGCCCAAGGCTCGCTGCCGCACGGACCAGGAGGGGAAGGGGGCTTTGGGGGCTCTCACACAAAGGTACGTAGGACATCATTTGGGAACAACAGCGAAAGACAGGGCACAGCAAGGCTCCGTGCCCAACTCCTGGGTCCAGGGTAGTGAAACACTTCACACGCTCCCCTTCCCCCCAGCCCCAGCTCATCAAAACCGTTACAGAAGTGTTCAGACAGGACAGAAAGCACCAGACAACTTGAACTTGCTGCAGCAGCACGTGGCAGGTTGGAAGACCCTTGTGAATGCTCTGGAGGTGGATCTCCCTGCTGGTGGCTCCTCTTCTGGTTTGGGAGCTCCCATCCCGGGGTTCCAACGACATGGAGCTGTTTTACTTACAGCGAGGAGCTGCGTCATGCCACTAATGGTCTGCTAACCAAGAGAAACGCTCCTCGGGGGACGTCCCGGGGAGGATGGGTTTGTTTTCTGTAAACACCAAGTGACGGAGCTCAGGGCAGTGCTCCACAGAGAAGGTCAAGTCTCAAGTGGCAGTTTTAGGGCTCTGCTTCCAGTGCTGCAGGTTGGATTTTCATGGTGGTTGACTTCAGCGGGTAATACCTGCCCTTCCATGTCTTCCAGAAGATGCCCTGCTTGCGCTCGTGCCTCTGGCGGGGGATGGAGCGGAAGTACTTCCCGTTGAGGTTGGCATGGCCGCAGGTGCTGAACCACCAGCCACCTACCAAAGCAACACAGGGGCCGGTTTAACCCACGGCATTTCCCGACAGAAACAAACCCAGGTTCAAGGCAGCTGCTGCCCCCGTTTCTCCCACTTTTCCAGAGCTTCAGGACCTTACAAGACCACCTTGTACATACTTGGAGTCCCGTGCACTGGGAAACCTTTGTACAGATGTGCCTTCAGGATGCACCTGCAAATCCCTGCTGCTCTTTCTGGCACGCAAAACCACCTCAAACCCCTCAGCAGCCCCATCTCAGGCCTGGGGACTGACCTCTGTTTCACCTGAAAGGTTTCCAAGCAAGGTGGCAGCCAGAAAGGCTGTTATGGAGACAGACGCTTGGGCCAAGACCTGAATCATGACCCCCTCCTGGTTTCAGCTTCCCTCCTGGTTCCCTGCACAGCTCCTCCTAAGGATGCAGCTTTCCCAGGGAAACAGGGGACAAGCTGGGCTCAACCCCAAAGGGGTCTAGTCCCACTCAGAGCCACTACAAGACAGCAGAGGGCTGATGGGAAAGTGTACGCCACCGAGAAGGAGGAGCTCCTACTGACCTGAAAGGTGCTTGGCACAGTTTGTGTCAGCTTTGAGGTCATGGTCGCGATCCCGAGTGGAGAAGGGCAGCTGCCTGAAGTCCCCAATGGCATTCTCCAGCTCTCCAGACAGAGGTCCCAGCAGACTGAGCATGTAGGCTGTGCTCTCACCACCAAGGCTGAAGACAAACTGAACCACCTGGGAATTTCCCTCCCAGTCTTCCAGCTCAATCAAGAGATTGTACCTTCCCTCTTGGACAAGGTGATGGATCTTCTCCAGGCCCAGCCAGAAGTCACCTGGAACAAGACACATTGCACTGGCTGCAGGGGCACCAACGTGCTGCACAAAGACGACATGTGAACAGGCTCCAGAGACAAACTGGGACAACCCAGGACTCTGTGGCACTTGAATCACTGTCTGGCACCTGCAGGATAAGTCAGGAAGACGAAGGACTCTTGGTCTGCAAGCAGTGCCCCCCCTTCCTCAGGCCAACACCGTGCTCTGGCACAGAGACCTCCAGGGGCCAGCAAGGGGGAATAACTTGTGCTGAGGTATCACTTGTCCCACAGTGAGAAGACGGACACTATCATCCACCTACCATGAAGGTCTCCAAAGCCATTCTTGTAGGCATCCCAAAGCTGGTCGAAGTCCACAGAACCATCTGTGCGCCTCTGGATCACTGTCCAGCCACCTTCTGCAGGAAGGAAGAACACAGACATTTGGGGTTCCTGTCTGCCCGAGCCCAGTGCAAAGTGCTGCGGGACACCGCCACCGCTTTACCTGCGGTCATGTCGCAGTAGACTCTGAAGGGCTGAGCCCCTGCAGGCTGCACCTGGAAAACACCACTGCTTTGCTGCCCGGCCAGGAAGAGCTGGTGGCAATCCTCTGGGAGCTCTGCAGGGAAAGGAAACAGCAGCTGGGAAGGCGGCCCCGCGTGCCAGTTCCTCAGCAGGTTGCTCCTACCACGTCCCCAGCACTCGCAGCCCTGGCCACGAGCCCGGCCAGCTGTGCACAGGGGTGGCTGCAGCTCTGGACGCGTGCTGGAGGGGACAGCCTCCAACCTCAGCAGCTTCACATGCTCTGACCCTCTATCTTCCTGTTTATCCAAACACAGCTCCTCGGGCTTCCATCCAAGGCAGAAGCTTGGGGTGACCTAGGCCACAGAGCCCTGCTCCCCGTCAAGGGGAGACCCGAGGAGCTTCCCAGCTCCCTCCGTGCCAGGCAGGAGCAGCCTGTCTGGGATGGGCTAATGCCGAGGGCAATCCAGGGCCGAGCATCCCCATCCCACCCCGAGGCTGAAGCAGTCTCAAAGGGTCTCAGGAGCAGAAACAAACCCCAAGTCCTGATGTCAGGAAGGCACCTGAGAATTCAGCGCAGGAGCTCTTGCTCCTGGGGACTGTGGTGGCCCCAGCCCATGTCCCACTGGGCAGCCTGGGGTGACCCTTTTGCCCAAAACAGACGGACTGGGGCAGGGAGGGGGTGGCTGGAGCACCGCGAGCCCCAGCTCATTGCACCAGTGGGTTGCCCAGGGTGAGGCCACCCCCAGCCTGCAGCCCCTCCATCCCCACACCAGCCAGGCTTCTCCTTCCGCCCCTGCGGGGACTTTGCCCCGAGCTGCCAGCAAAGCACCGTTTCAACAGCGCTGATAAAAGTCCACCCAGGAACCACCACCCGCAGAACTCGGGGAGAGAAGCAGGGGGCAAAAAACCTGTTACAAAACCCGAGTCAAAAGGCCACAGGAGGATGTGCAGGGACTTCAGCCCCCGGGCTGTCGGCGCAGTCAAGGGGCTCTTTGTCCGCCAGGACAGGTGCCCCCGTCACCCCCAGACAAAGGGGGTCTGTTCTCCCCGCGTGAGGGTGGGATGGATTTTGGTGGCTCACAGCTGCTGCCAGCACAACCCCAAGACAGACGGGTGAAGAAACCTGAAGACAAGGCCTGGGCTGTGCCCTGGTGTTAGGAACGCCCAGGGCCCCCCTGCGGGGTCCCCCTTGCAGTAGCTGACCCCAGAGTCAGGGCTGGCATCATGATGGGGGCAGCAGCAGAGAGAGGGGCTTCCCCCGTGGCCATGGGGCTTCACACGGGGCAGAAGGGGGGAAAAATGGGGCTTCTGAGTTGCAGAGGGCAAGAGCTGTCCCTGCAAGGCGTCACCCCCTGCCCCTCTCCTCGCTGGGCAACCCGATGCTGCCTTGGGGTGAAACGCAAGAGCCACAACTAGAGGAAAGGTCAGCATGGGGGGACCCAAGGGACAGCAGTGTGTCACCTGACACCACCTTTCACCCATTTCCCCTCCACCAGACCCCCCTTCCCAGTGAACTTTCCCCTCCTTGGCACAGGCACTCCCTCTCCTGCTGCCCGCAGGGCCGGCCTCGCCCTGCTGTTAGCATCCCTCGCACCGCGCTGACGCCAGCACGGGACTGGTGCTGTCAAGCCCATGAGTGCACCCACGGGATGAGCGTGTGGCCCCGAGCCTGTGCACACTTGGATCAGGGGCGGGTGTTTTGCACAAAGGGTCAAACCCCCACAGAACCCCCCGCAGCACCGCGGGGAGGCCAAGTGCAGCCCTCATGTCCCCACTTGCTAGGCGAGCGTGGCCGTGGAAGCCAGATGAGGCTCAGGGGAAGAGAAACCACAACCTGACCTCAGACCCACCGCGATCCCGGCTCACACACAGCGGCAGGGAGGTGCCGGAGGCTGCTGGGCTCACCCGGCCCCGCAGGGCTCCCCGCTTCCTCTCCCACCATCGCTGGGACAGTGCCTGGGAGGATTCTCAGTGCCCCCAGCATGCGGAAGCCAACCCCATCCCTATGCTGCTGGTTGGGATTTTCCTGGGCCCTACCCACGCTCCCTGCACTCGATCTCTTCTCCTGGTGCAACCGGGACTTTCAAGCAGCTGAATGAGATGCAGCTGCTTGAACAGCCTCAGCTCAAGCTTTTTGTTTGAGGAACACGCTCGTTAGTTCCAGTTCATGTTGCACATCCGTATGGCACCAGCAGAACAACAAGACCTCCTGGCTGCTCTGGATGTTTTTCTTTCCCTCCCCCTTTATTTAGCCAAACACGGCAGAAGAATCAACAAGGCTGGCTGGAGCTGCCCCGGGCATGGCACTGTATTTACCCAACAGCATCTCCAGGCATGACAGGAGGTCACCAACCTGGGATAAACATACCGTCCTGGGATGGCAGGGCAGGCCCGGAGCTGTCTGCATCACCTCCCCCTCACCCTCCCCAACCCAACCCAATTATTTTGGAGTCCCAGCGCCACGGGGAGAGAGCGAGCAGGGTTCTACCTTTCCCCTACTCGGCCAGCTGCCAGAAAGCGCAGGCTCTGCCTAAAGATGTGATCCTCTTTCTGCGAGCGATTAAAGCTCTCACTCTCCAGCCTGCTTCAAGCCTTCAACTTTCACATGCTTGGCCCCCTGCCATCTCTGGCCTGAAAAAACTTGTGTTCACTGGATGCAAATAAAAGGGTCTTTCTAAAAGGGCTGCTGGTGGAGTTCATCGCCGTTCCCTGGGGCCGCGCCGGCACTGCGGCTCTGCCCGACAATAGGCAGGGAGCGGGTGGCACAAGCCTTCCTGGCACTTGCCTGCTCTGAAAGCAGCCACAAGCCTCCCCAGGCAAGAGGGCACGGGGCTGGCCCACCAGATATTGTGTGCTAAGATTTGCCGGAAAACTCACTCAGCTTGCTAATGAAAGGGAGCCAGTTTGTTTTCTGTCAGCGATATCAACACTGGGGATTAGGCAAGAGAAGGGGGAGCCCGCAGCTCAGCCAGGTGGGAGGGAGACGGGATGCCCAGGGTGCCGGGGATGCTCCGGGTCTCCCCATCGGGGACAGTGCAGCACAAGAAGGGGCTGAGCTCTTGCACCCCCCACCTCACAGCATCCCTGGGGCTGCAGCCCCTCGCTGCCCCCCACCATGCCAGCACAGAGCCGACAGCACAGCCTGCCTCTGCCACCAGTAAGTAGCAAAGACCCGAACCCACCTCCCTGCAGCCCACTTCCAACATAACCCGAGAGTAGAGCAGGGGGGGTGGATTAGTTGGTTGGACTAGATGATCTTTAAAGGCTCCTTCTGACCCAAACGACTGTGGGATTCTCCGACACACTGAGGGTGAGTCACAAAGCAGAGGTCATTAAAAAACAAGGTGGGGAGGGAAGATTTTGGGACAGTTTTCAGGCTCACTAGTGCTGCTCTGACTGAGGGAGACCTCACGCAGCCCTGCTACAGGCTGGCCAGCCCCACCACGCCAAGCACTGGGAGTTTGGAGCCTGGTGTCCCACCTCCCTCCTTATCTGCAGTGATTCTGCAGCTCTTTGTTCTGCCCACCCAGCTTTCAGGCACAGCAGTGACAGCTCCAGGCCCCACATACAAATTCCCGTGTGTTTTCCCATAGCTATCGCTGCGTTAAGCCCGGGGGCAGGATTTCCCTGAGCATTCTCACCCTGCCTGGTTTCTGTTTGGCTCGCCCTGGACATCCCCAGACAGCTGCACAGACGGAGCCAGCACCGTGATTTAGCTGACATAACACGAGAGCAGCTGCTCCTGGCCGGCAGACCCTGCGGGGACACCAGTTCCTATCTGGGAGGGAAGCTGCAGGATGCAGCGCAGCTGGGGACACCCGCTCTGCTGCCCTTCACTCTGCGGGAGCCAGCAGAGAGGATGCTCCAGGCAGAGCCAGGAGCTCCAGCTGCAGCATCCACTCGCCTGCTCTGGTTTCCCGGGGATGTGAGTGCCCAGTGCCTTCCTGCCTGGGCATTTGCTGCAGCTCAGCACCTTCTGCTAAGCACAGCGCAAGCTGAGGCACTTGTCTTTCATGTATGAGCCCTAAATACGAGCCAAGGGAGACAGATGCACAAGGATCTAGCTCCCTCTGCCAACCCTCTCCTCTGCCAGCAGACAGAAACAGACTCTGCCTGGTAAAGTGAGAGCAGGTGAACAAGAGCTAACTCTGAGGAGCAGAGATCTTCCTTTCCCGCCTGCATTCACCCCCCCCATCCCGCAACCTGCCAACCCTCTTTGACAAATACCTGCTATCAGTGTTCACTCCCCACTGAATTCTTAATATCAGGCAGAAAAATTCCTCTTAAATCCTTAAATTCCTGCTGGACTAATACTGATCCAGAAGGCTAGGATCCTGCCTGTGCTCCAGATCCCCTCAGTCTGGCCAAACTCCCAAGCTCCGGTTTTGCAAGCAAATCTCATATCCTGACTCAGGACAACTAAACCTTTTGTTTCCAAACGGTTGCAACTGCTACAGGTCTGCTCCAGCACAGAGGAGTGGGGTGGCACGAGCAGGTACTCACTCTGTGTCAGCACGGGCTCCCCACTAGCATTTTGGCTCTGGTTAGTGAGGCTGAGGCTCTTCAGGTTCATCTTCCACTTTGGAGACTGTGTTTTGTTGTCTTTCAGGTGTAAGGGGATCAGTAGATTGACCTAGAAAAAAAAACGCACAAGTCAGAACAGTTTTATCTCAGCTCATTTTCCGCACTGTTACTCAGTGGAGCTGATCAGCCAAGCCGCCAGCCGCTCCCCTGTGACCAGAGCCGGAGCTGAACTTGCCCAGAAACCTGGAGGAATAGGAGATACCTGAGGCTGACAAAGCCAGAAATTATTGTGGTTTTTTCACACCCATGCTAACGAGCTCATTCTGCAGACAAAACTCAAAGGACGAGCCTGGAGAGGCTCCATTCCCACACACCAATCCCTCCTATTGCTCCCTGCAAGTGCTGGGGAAGCTTGCAGCCCGCCACCCTGTCGCCAAAGCTGTGGCACCCAGGCCATGGCCTCTGCCGGGTCCCCGGAGGTGGGGAGCAGCGGCACGGCGGGTTCTCGGGCCACCCGAGGGCTGTGCCACGCGCGCAGAGCCAGGCTGCGGTCCCCGGGCACAGAGCGGGGTGGGAGCTCACCTTGCTCTGCAGGCTTTTAATCTGCAGATTCTGCTTGTCCAGCTTGTACTGCTGCTGCTTGATCTTCTGCAGGAGCTCCTCGATTCGCAAGTTCTGCGCATCCATCAGGGACTGCGGGGGGGGAAGAGCCAGGTGAACCCCGCAGCTCGGGGGAGATCCAGCTCTGCTGCTCGTATCCCACGGAGCCCGGTCCCTCCGGTGGGGCCAGGGATGCTCCCGGTGCCCCAGGACCATCAGGTCCCCCCACCGCTCCCCGTGTCCCGGGGGGGCGGGTCCCCCCACCGCCCTCTTACAGCCGTTCCGTCGCCCCAAGAGGGTCGGGCCCCCCCATCACTCCTCCCGGTAAGGCAGCGACCCCTCCCCACTTCCTTCCACGCCGGTCCCGGTACTCCGGGCAGAGCTGGTGTGTGTATCCCCCACCTCACCCTTGGGTCGCTCCCGGTACCCCCGAGGTCTCGTGTGTCCCTTCTCCACCCCGGGTCGCTCCCGGTACCCCGGGGGGGTCTGGGGGGCGTGTGCGCCCCCACTCCTTGGGTCGCTCCCGGTGCCTGGGGGGGTCGGGTCTCCCCCCACGCCCCCGGGCCGGCCCCCCCGGTGGCCGCCGGGGCCGG